CGCAGACGGACTAATGTTAGCCCTGGCCGCCGCAGACGGACTAACGTTAGCCCTGACCGCTGCAGACGGACTAATGTTAGCCCTGGCCACCGCAGACGGACTAACGTTAGCCCTGGCCGCCGCAGACGGACTAACGTTAGCCCTAGCCGCCGCAGACGGACTAACGTTAGCCCTAGCCGCCGCAGACGGACTAACGTTAGCCCTAGCCGCCGCAGACGGACTAACGTTAGCCCTAGCCACCGCAGACGGACTAACGTTAGCCCTAGCCGCCGCAGACGGACTAATGTTAGCCCTGGCCACCGCAGACGGACTAACGTTAGCCCTGGCCGCCGCAGACGGACTAACGTTAGCCCTAGCCGCCGCAGACGGACTAACGCTAGCCCTGGCCGCCGCAGACGGACTAATGTTCTGGAGAACGGACAAGTCTGCTCTGATGCATGCTGGGTAAAGAGGGAGGGACCAGAACAACATCCGGGGACTTTGTCCGTTCTCGGTCTGCTGTTCTAGTGAATTGGAACAGTAATGGGTCTGAGGATGATGACGATTTTCCAGTACATTAGAACAAGAACACAGATTGAGAAACGGCCTGTTTTCTGATTAGCTGCTAAAATCAAACTTATCATCGCTGTGAGACACCAAGGAGAGTTAGACCTTTCAGTCTTTATCTTGAAGCATTCTCCACCTCAGAGATCTTCATTCTGCAGGAAATCGGACGGAGACAGCAGCCGACATCTCCTCATCCTGGACTGCGTCTGACGGCAGGAAGGACGGACGAAACGTTTTCATGGCTGCAGTTATGAAGCTGAACAGCATCAGCAGGTCAGAGAGTTTTACGAAAAGCAGCTGCTAATTTCTGGTGATTTCTGTTGATGGTTGGGCACCGAGGAAGGCCATGAGTTTTTAATTAAAAGGCTGTTTCTCTCTCTGGGTCTGACACTTCAGGGAAATTTTTGAGGAACGGCTTAAAGTGAGAGAGCAACCTCTGCAGAGAGGAACAACCTCCACCCTGCTCTACAGGATGGCTCAGCACTTCCAGCATGCAGGCTCTGTCGCAACGTCTATAAAACACACACACATCACTGTTCTGCACACCTACTGAGGACCTTACATTGACTTTCACTCATTAAACCCTTAATATGACCGGATCCCATCCCTAACCCCTAACCCCCCCCCGCCTACACCCAAACCCGACTCGCGCCACATACAACCCCTCCCCCTCCTAAAAACTGAAGGACCAGGAAAATATCCACACTTTGCAGGTAAAATGCCGAAAATAGTTCACGTTTAGCAACTAGCACACCATTCCAATGAAAGTCACTGTCTGTCTTCTGAGATAAGCATCAACTATCATCACACCCATTTCTAAATGCGGTTTTCAACCTTTCACTTTTACTTCTTGTTTGCACGCCCACACAGAACCAAACACTCAGCAGACCACGATTAATATTAAATTTATTAAAAAAGAAAACAACTCCAGTTCAAACATACACACCCTTCCTCATCTTGCTATATGCAGTGAGGACTGGGTGTTGACTTCCATCAATTTACAGACATTTCTAACCGTTTCTATACCCTAAAAAAACCTGGACGGGGGCCGCCTGTGGAGCTGGTTGACAGTTGCCTTTTGTATCTATTAGGGATGCACGATATTGGGATTTTGGCTGATATCCGATATCCGATATTTTAAAACTCATGTAGCCGATAACCGATATCGATACCGATGTTAAAGCTGGACAAAAATAAGTAGTCATTGAAAATCGCAGTTTTGTTATCCATTTCTGACACTTTGAAAAATAATATACTCAAATATATTTTCATATGCTGATATCAAACTGATTTTTAAAAACGCGGTATCGATCTATTTTACTTTCAGAATCTGGTGAAATTTCATCGTTCTGTTACAAACTCTCGTGATATTTTGCAAATTCTTGTGAGATTTTGTTAGTAAAATAGATCGATACCGCGTCAATATATCAACATATAAAAATATGGCAAAATTTCGTGAATTTTCGGGGGATTTCGTAGCATAACGATGACATATAGCAATATTTCATTAGTAAAAGAGATTGATATGGTGTTTTTAAATGGCAATATATCTTTAGAAGTTTTTAAGTCTGTAAAAAAAGAAGTTTTTGAGGAAGAAGAAGTAGTATTTTTATTTTATTTTTTTAGACTTTAGAAACTCAAAAGCTGATCAAATATCGGGTTAAATATCGGTGGGGTGGCCGATGTCCGATATTCAGTTTTAAGGCCGATACCGATAGGGGGCCCATTATATCGTGCATCCCTAGTATCTATGCTTCTTTTTCTATATCTGCTTCTGTCTCCTTGAACCCCAGTGGGCCTCAGCAGATGGCCGCTCACACTGAGCCTGGTTCTGCTGGAGGTTTCTTCCTGTTCAAAGGGAGTTTTTCCTCTCCACTGTCGCTACAAGCATGCTTAGTGTGAGGGATTGCTGAAGAGTCAATGAGTCGATGCAATCAGCTGGTTTTCCTTAGATAGAAAACTTTGAATCAATCTGACTGGATGATCTGGATCTATAAAGTGACCTGAGATGACATGATGGGAATTGGAGCTATATGCTGATGAAGATTCTCAGTCTTCGAGGTCCTAGTCATGTTTTTAAACTTTTACGGAATAATCAGCACTATAGAAATAAACTGAACAGAACTAATGGTTGGTCAGTCCATGGAAAAGCTTATGTTCCTGTGATTCTGATTTCTGATCGAGGTACTTCAACCAAAATAATGACGCAAGTGTTGAGAAGAAACCTGTGAGTTTACAGAACGTAAAGGTTGTTTGATCCAAGCCAGGGTTCAAGGCTGATTGGACCACAGCGACCCAGAAACACACCAAACCAGTACAGAGCCAAGCTGCAGAGCTGAACTTAGGGGAAGTTTTGCTTTGAATACGACCACAAAGCAAGAACATATTCCCAACTTTAAACACTACAGCAGCCTGGGTTCTGGTCTGTCCTGTAGAACCCAGACGGGTTAAAACCTGCCCGCTCTCTGTTCCAGTGGTGTTATAGAGCGTTTTAGGTCCAGGAAACAATGGTGCGGCGATGATCCACAATCTTTTTATCGCTTCTTGGTGGAGAGAATCGCACTTACAAAATGATGTCCAGACCGGGAGAGAAGTTCTTGGCGTTTCTATTTATTGAAGTCAGTTTTTAAATGAGCCAACGATCCGAGGGGCGGTCTTATACAACAAGTGAGCTGAACAGGTAATATGACAGAACTTAACCAGTGGACGCAGGAAGAGGTAAAAACCGCATGACCCAAACCCTTTCTGCCCTCTCACCTTTATAGCTGCCCCCTCCTCGCCGCCACCAGAGGTAGAGCTAATATAGGTCAGTGTGTCAACCTCAACTAAACACCCAAATAAACCAGAAACAAACCATCCCTGAACTCCAACAACTATAAATGGCTCCTACAACTGGAAAGTGTGTGATACATTGATATTAAACTGCAGACATGACAAAGGATAGATCTGTATCAGGCAGAAGGCATTAGAATATGTTTCAATCTAGATGCTCCCTGCCTTCGTTTTTAGAACAGAGGAAAATCTGCGATCTCAAACATTCTACCTGCAGGTCCTCCAGCTCCCACCATGCTGCCATCCAGCCAATCCACTGCACTCTTTGAAGGCCTGAAGCCACGCCCACCTCTGCTCTGGTTGACTTTATCCAAGCGTCAAGGAGAGGCTCGGTTAAAGGTTAACAAGGAGGCACTGAGTCAGAGACAAAACCACAACCAAGGACGGCCTATTGTCTCTCACAGCAAAGCAATGAAAACACACCCAGTGATGTTTTCCTTTGGTGAAGCACAGACAGATGTTAGCAGTGGAAAAGCAGACGGACGGTAGGAAGCATCCAGGTTAGCAAACAAGCAAACTGGAGATCTGGTTCCAACAAATGACCAGGAGGAGAACTTTTCCTAATCTGCTGCTCCAGGCAGCGCAGGAATATAAAGTCAACTCGCTGCTGTTAGATCTCTAAATAAAGACTGAGTTCCCTTATCAGCTTTATGACTTTCCTTTTAAATCTTCCCTCAGTAACGTTTCATTTAACTAAAATAATCTGCTTTACGCTGAGCTGAAAAATCTGTGTTCTCAATGAACTCAAAGTGTCCACATATCCTTCGTTTGCCACTTATCTGAGATTGGCTCGTTAGGCTAACAGATTAAGGTGGATTAGACGTATTCTGAGACACCAGAGGTGTTCTGGTCACATTCTGTTTTTCTCGTGGTTATTAGACCCCCTCACAGAATCAGGAACAATCAGTCATCTTAAGTCATTTAGCTGCAGAGACTCCAGGCTTGGCAGTTGCACAGAAGATAGAAGCAACGTTCAAACCTTTGTAGGAATAGAAAACATCTTTCTGGAGATAAGATTGTCTTTCAGACATACAGAGCAAATGGAAACCTTAAAACAGAGCGTTCCAAAATGAAGACAAACTAGTTTTTCCAGGAGCATTTTTATGGAGATACCTAAAAAACGAATAAGAAACTTCATCCCAGTTAGTGTAAAGGGGGGGTTCCCTAACCCCCGATGATCCTGTGAGCTCTGGAGGAATCCATGAATCCAAATAAAGCAAAGCGGGACGCGCCATACGGACCCCTGTGCCACATTAAATGGCCTCGTTGCTGAGCGGGACGTTTGGACGTCGGCACAAGTAAGAAATGTGACCAAATTTGCACCAAAACAGACAGAAACCTGCTTCTTCATGAACCCTGATGCTGATCCTGCAGGAAACACGGGTTTGCATTGAATACGGAACAAGTCCAACAACGTTAGCAAAGGTTCGAATGTTTGGGTTTGGTTTAAAAGGAGTTCTGCTGAAAGTTCCTGAAAGCCAGTCTGCTCTCTACGCAGCACAGCAATACGATGATGACGTTTATTTAAATAAACAGATATTACAGCAGATGGATTATTGTTAAAGCTATGATGATGCAGCTGCGCTCTAATGTCTCAGTTAGAAAAGAACAAATGATTTTACCCAACAGATGACTCAGACAGTCCCACGGCTCCTCTTCGTCAGGCCCGGCAGCGAGAACGGACAAAGTACAACAACAGATGAAAGGGATTATCGCTTATCTTGTTTGAAGGGGTTAATCTTGTTGGAGGGTCAAGGTGTGAGTACAGCAAGCACGTGGGATTATGGCGTGGCGTGGTCAGCAGAGCGTGCGTGAAGCTGAATGAGCGCTCCTGTCCTCGGATGACTCGACCCGGCCCGTCTGTCACAAACATTTGGCTCAGAGACGTTACTGTAAAACCGAGACACGCCGAGAGGAAAAAAGTCAGTTCTGGAGGTACGGGTGAAGCCTGCTGGGTCGTCTAAGGACCGCCCTCTTCTTCCAGCACAGGCTGTAAAATCTGACGTAGGTTTTTGAATCTTTTCCAGGGTGTTTTCCAGCTCAAAGCAGTTCAGCTGTAACAGCAGAGGGAGACGGGACGAGTATTTATTCCCAGCAGGGTGGTGCTCACACTGGATACCACTGGGCTGTTTGCAGGAATGTCGGAGAAGAACCATCAAAGATGGTCTAAAAGTAAGCAGCTGCTCGCTTCAGTTCAGGGCAGGAAAAACGATGCATTTAACCTGAAATAAAAGCCAACACAACCTTCCGCCTTCAGTGAATGAAGTGGTTTCTACAGAACATTATAACCTCATAAAAACCAAACAATGGAGCGGACAGGTCAGGGAGGAGATAACGAGTCTAATAACACTAAGCTTTAGGTCATAAACAAATCCTAATCAGACCAGTTGGAGGTTTGCTGTGGATGCAGAAAATATGCGGAAGCTCCGCTTGAATGAGGCCACAGTTTTTGCCTCCAATGCAAAATAATGTAAGCCTGGTAGAACACCTTATATCACACAGACAGCAACCCCACAGTGAGACATGGAGGTGGTAGCATCATGCTGTGGGATTGCTTTCTTCTACCAACTGGAGCTTACTGTCCACCAGAGCATACAGCCACCCAGGCGAGGATTTACCATCAGGCAATCCTAGGCAGTTCCTGGGGGCCCCAAGTTCCTGGGGGCTAGCTGAGGTACGGAGGGCCAAGAGAGATCATGACATTAATAAATGCACCATGATACCGTAAAAAATGCATTATTTATTGGTTCAGTTATAAAATACACAGTGAAATAATAAAACAAATAATTTTATGTATTCTTATGAAAAGTGATTCATTTAAAAATGAACATTATTACTTCGATGCATTTTCAGGGGTCTTCAGTTTCTCATGCCAGTATTTTGGGGTCAGAGTCTGAAATACTGGGAACCGCTGAGCTTAGCAGGGAGCAGCAAGATGAGAGCCAGAGGCAGAGCGCTGGAGGCCCCGGAGCTGCGAGGCGACGGATGATTTACCAGCTTTAAACCTTTACAGATCATTCATCCCTACATCCTATGTCCTTCCCTCCACCTAACTTCCTTATCGGTCGACACGACAGGAAGGTTCACATTTTTGAACTTCAGTGAAAATTGGCTTCGCTCTTTTAGGCCTTATTGTGCCGTTTGCATCACTAGAAACACGTCCTTCGCATCACTTCCCTCCTGAACGCGCCTCTACAGCAGCAGCCATTCAAAATGGCCGTTCCCGGTCAAACGGCCACTTCCCTGCAGCTCTCAGTAGAATCCCCTCCAACTTCCAGCCACTGCAGTCAGTGACCACATATTGTTTCACTCTGACTCCTCCCTTCATTGAATTACAGGGTCTGACCAGCAGATGGCGCTTCTCTTTAGATCTTAATGTCCACAAATCATAACAGAAAGAATATTTTAAAACAAAGATTGATGTTTAAAAGGGAATTGAAGGGAGACCATCCAAGGACCATTCAAGGACAAGCCAAGGACCAGCCAAGGACCAGCCAAGGACCAGCCAAGGACCAACCAAGGACCATCCAAAGACCAGCCAAGGACCAACCAAGGACCATCCAAGGACCAGCCAAGGACCCCCCACCCCCATTTTATTTTATTTATTTATTTATCTTCTTTTATTTATTTAACTCTATTTTCCTTTGGCTTATATCCAGCTCCTGAATGACTCCGGACGAGGCGGGCCTACAAGCGGTGGGTGATGATAACTACAGAACTTATTGCAGAACTTGTGTTGCACATTTAGTTAGTGAAAATAAATAAACTTTGTTTAAAATAACACAGTTTTGTCGTAGCCTGCAGGTGAGCCAGGACACCTCCCTCTGTCTCCGACCGCCTCTCTGCCAGATCGATGGACGTTTCCCGTTTCAAGGTCGCCCTTTAGAGCAGCAACCATCGCCTCCCAAACATCCCATCAGCTCCACTCCAACCAGTCCACGTGGTCCCAGTCTAAGCTCAGGCAGCGTTCCATGCATTGGTGTCACAGGAGGTGACCTGGCAGTTAGTATTCATCAGATCCCTTCAAAATAAATATTTGCCCCAGATAATAAAATAAAACTGGTACCTGAACCGTGATTCAAGGTATAACAGGGAAAATTTAAGGTTTACATGAGTTATCAGCAGCCATCCATTAACTCTGCCAGTATGATAAAGCCCAGCACCTCCATGAATTATTAAATGAGTCCAAAGGTTGGCTGCCAGCTGCAGCTGCATGCGAACCTTATCGGTCTGTTCCGGCTCCGATCGATCGGCGCCTCCAGCTGCATAAGGAGATTCTCCAGAATCTCCTCTGGCTTGTTTTTACAGAACCAAACATAAAAGAGTGCAGAGACGGCTTACAGGCAGCGGAAAACTGAACCCAACGCCTCAGTGACTGTTGATAGGCTTCAGAAAACAACTCTGTTAATGATTTCTCCGGATTTAGGAGGCAAAGAAGAACTAATCCGCTTATCATCAGGAAGGGAAACGTTTAGGAACATGAAACCAAGATGGAAGAGAAGCAGATGAGCAGAAACATTTCAGGAATCTAAGGAGGGGATGTCTGCACTATAAGAAGAAAAATATCTGAGATCAATACTGCCGTTATGGTCAATAACCGATATTTACCGATAAACTGATAAGATGACAGACCGACGGCCGGACTGACCGCACCTCTCTGCTGCTGAGACTTAAATAATGTCCCAACATTTACTAAAACAGAACCAGTCTAAAACCAGTTCAGAACCAGTCTAAAGCCAGTCCAAAACCAGTCTAAAATCAGTCTAAAACCAGTCCAGAACCAGTCTAAAACCAGTCCAGAACCAGTCTAAAACCAGTCCAGAACCAGTCTAAAACCAGTCTAAAACCAGTCCAGAACCAGTCTAAAACCAGTCCAGAACCAGTCTAAAACCAGTCCAGAACCAGTCTAAAACCAGTCCAGAACCAGTCTAAAACCAGTCTAAAACCACTCCAGAACCAGTCTAAAACCAGGCCAAAATCAGTCTAAAACCAGTCCAGAACCAGTCTAAAAGCAGTTCAAAACCGATCTAAAACTAGTCCGAACCAGTCCATATCCAGTCCAGGAACAGTTTAAAACCAGTGTCAAACCAGTCCAGGATGTCTGCACTATAAAAAGAAAAATATCTGAGATCAATACTGCCGTTATGGTCAATAACCGATGTTTACCGATAAACCGATAAGATGACAAGATGATAAGATGACCGACGGCCGGACTGACCGCACCTCTCTCTGCT